AGGAAAGGCTGTATGTCCCCAAGCCCAGAGATCCTGAAGTGCACCCTGCATCTGCTCCAGTCCAGACCACTAGGTTTTCGGACTCAGGTAGCTTCGAGAGCTCCCCACAGAGCGCCACATCCTGCCCTGCACAGCAGGCTAAGGGTGATGACGGGCTTGATGCAGAAACTCTTAAAGACAAACAGGAACAACATCGGCCTCATCACAAAGTAGGAAACGTAGAGCCCATGACACGCCTTGACACTGTCTTGATTGACGGCTCGTCTCCTCCAGCCAGCACAGGCGATACCAGCAGGGGCCATCCGGCGGTTGTCGATGCGGAACGGCGCTATATCAGTATGAAAGTGGAGAACGAACCATCAGTTCCCTCTAAACCAAAAACTGATGCCACCTCTACTGAGAGTCCAGCTTCGTACAAGCCATCGACGTCCAACACACCAGAAGGCATTGCACCGGTGTCCTCATCGTGCGAACGCAAACAGAGCACGATGGAGAAAAATCGTCCGCTAGTCGTCTCATCGGATCAGCAGAGGCCACTGTCTGTCAAAATACAGGACCAAACTGAAGGAACTACTCCGTCCGGACAGAACAGCAGGCGCTCATCTACTAGATCACGGGAGCATATGGCCTCAAGTCCTGGACATGCTGAACCTGACTTCGACCCAACACATATGAGGATGTCCTTCGATTCTCAACTCCCTATGGACGATCCTCGTTTCTACTCTGGCGTGACGACTCACGGAGGCTATGCTCCTCCTCCACCGCACCCGGGCTACCAAAACACAGTAACCCTAGAGCAGCAAATATCCACCTACATGGATTCGCTTCACATCCACGTTGATGGTACGGCTAACAAGCTTGCCCGGTCATTCGAAAACACAAATAACTGGTCAACGGATCAAATCCTGAGGCATACAGGACATCTGTCCGATCTTATGCGCAAGCTCAATAACCGAGTGATGAGCGACACTGAAGTGACGAGGGAGCTGCAGAGGGTCACGATGGAAGTGAAGATTCAAGTCGGCGCTATACAGCGCGAGCAGCATCATATGGAAGACAGGATGACACAACTCTTCCAGAGTGAGTACAACAAGCTGAAGGGCGAGATCAACGCGTTGGCTTCGACCGTAAGGTCCAACCTCCCCCACAACCCGGCACAGGATGCAAGATTCACGAATACCAGGTTGCAGGGGAGTCAAGACTTCATCAAAGGGAGTAAAGACAATGAAAGGCCACAGCAGTTCAGGAAGATGAAGTCTCGTCAGATGAGGAGGGAAGATGTGGTGACAAAGAAAACAGAGAGCAGAGGGGGGGAAGAACACAACTGTGAATCTGTCGCACTGAACAAACACGCCGAGGAACACACGCTTACTGATGATGTTCCAACACCTATGGCAGCCTTCCCCACTCCAAGTTCCCATGGCGATGACTGGAAGAATCACTTCACTGAGTCTCACCCCAGAAGACTCATCCTGAAAGACCCTAGCAAAATATCCACTGGGAGTCCAGAACCTCTACTCAGCAGCTCCACTAAAGGCAAGGAAAGAGCCAGTAGCAGCCAAACTCTTGTTCACAAAGCAAGTGCTGAGATCATGAAGTTCCCAGCTAAGATGGGCCTTTTCTATCCTTTCCGCCGTGGCCGTGATCGACGTAGCAGCGAAAGCAAAACTGCGAGCCACTCCTTGCCCCCTACCAAGCGCAGCGAAGATGATAAAACTTCTGAGGAGCGAGAGTCCAGGAAGCAAGAACCACCTCCATTTACACCCCCTATGCAGACAAGCGCCATTGCTAGTATTGCGGCAGAGCATCGCCAAGTGGAAGTTAGCCCCAGCAGAGTCCATCCTGCCCTGCGCAACCCTGCCCAGCAGCAGATCATGGCTGAACGTGAGCGCCTCAATAGTCAAGATACCATGACACCCAGACAGCTCCTACGATCCTCCAGATCCTTTCAGGACTTGAATTCTCGCTCCAGAAATGCTGCATCGTTTGATTGGATTGATAGCTCGACCGAATGTCCTTCGAAGTCCACAAGTCGCAGGCAGAACCAGCAGGATCTTGCTATGGGCTTCCCTGCTCTTTCAACAGCTTCGCTCCGCCCATCTTCTACAAAAGATTCATCGTTGACAGCTTTCGCCGAAGCACGGATGTCTCAGGCTTCAGATGTTTCGTTTAGTTATCGTGGCCCAACCCCTCCTCCCAGAGAGTCTGAAGCGAGCGAGCCGAGCCTACCAATCTGGTACCAGGCAGCCTATGCATACAAGTCCATCGAGAAGCCAGAAGACGATTAATATGAAACTATCAGTTCATTTCCGAACTGCTATTTGCGTTTCAGCATTTATGACGCCGTGACGATTTCATTTCTTCAATAGTCTGTTGGGCTGGAGCATTGACTGGGGTAAGTGGCTATGATATGGCTTAGCGCACGAAGATGGTCGTTTGGGGGGTTGAAATTCAAAGGGGGTATTGGCGCCGATTATTGAATGGATAGGGATAACATCGGAGGGTTTAACAGGACAAGGGTTTGGACCAAATATCGGTAATGGTTCGAGATTTCATTTCAGATTGACGCGTGCAGTTGACCTGCTCACGTGTTCTAAGATTACCGGGTATCATGATCTGGCTAACAAAAAAAAAACCAAAAAAAGGGCATAAAATGAACATAAGAGGAAAAAAAAGGGAACATCCGGTTAATGGATAAGACATGAGGAATATGTTTTTTAATGGCAATGAAACGTCATGTTAATACATTGCAGATAGTCATAATGACAATGCTTTATTTCCTCGAGATCATCTTCTCCATATCCACAGCAGCATCACGGACTTGGGGACAGTAATGTAGTCGCAGTAATTCTCCTTCCCATACCGTCCCAGCAAAGACATTGGTTGCTTCTATATCTGTCGCGTAGGGATTGTATACACCGTCACCTTTACGCTCCTCACTGTGCCACAATGGAGAGATACGATTTGTGTGATGCTTCGCTACCTGGTTTAGAAGGGAAAGCGTGGCAATGGCGGACTTCTCAGGGACCTGGAGCGACGTCGTCAGGAGTCGTTTAGTGAAGCTACCAATACGCACCGGAGGTGGTATGCCTTGTGCGCGGGACAAAAGTGTGGACTGGAGGCAGCGGAGTAGCAGAACTGTCGGAGTCTGAAAGTTGACCTTGTTCCTCGACTTAAATTGCTGCGTCGAACTATTGTCATCTGGATCAGGGAGCCGAAGAGACTTGTCGGGGTTGAATTCGATGTCAGGGTTGATTGAGTGAGAGTACAGGGAGCGATAAAGATGCTTGATGAAAAAGCTTAGGTCAAGATGGAGTGTGTTTGCCGCCTTGCTAGCATCCTGTCCTTGAAGGAGCGCAAAGGCAGTGACGGTACAAAGGAGGGCTTCACGCTGAGAATCTCTGGATACTGTCGCAGATTCAGGATCCTCATCGTCCACGTCGTCGCCTTCAAATTCATCTCGATCGGCGTGCCCGATCAAGTCCTTCAGAGCTTCGAGCAAGTCGCCGAAGAAATCTTGGTTGATCAGATGCGCATATTTAGCAAGGCCCTCAAGTACCGGGCCCATGAGAGTTGGAATGCGGAGTTTCAAAATGCGGAAGTAGACCCCAAACACAAGTTTCAGAGTTTCTGCTTGGTTCTTATCTCTTTCCTCGTGGGAAACCAAGGCGTCGGCTTCCTTCATATCCTTCTCCACGGCCTTGCGTTCCTTTTGGATCTTGCGTTCCTTTTTAGTGCGAAATTCCTTCTTTTGCTTCTTCTTCCCACGGAATGTATCCTCCTCTGGCTCACGGTCGACCCGGTCTCTTGATGCCTTAGAAGAGAACTCGGAGAGTAGTCGGAGGTGCAGGAAGGTGTCCAAGACGCTTTCGTTGATTCTGAATTCCTTCGCCTTCATCATCTTCGACAGGAGACGAACGGCTTCGAGGGAGACGACTCCATCCTCATCTCTTGCGAAGACTTCCTCGAGTGTTTCCCGACATTTCACAAAATCAGCATCCACTTGTCTCTTTGCGAGCCGGTTGACAAGAATTTTCAAGAGCTCCCCGCGAAAGTTGAAATGCGGTACGGAAAGGAGCATGTTGCAAGCGCAGTTGATCGCAAGACTTTTTAAGCTAGGATCAACGTCCTCCTGTGTGGCTTTAGACGGCTTTGTAAGCTCGCTCAACTTCTGAATGTAGTGTTTATAATGTGAGAGAAGCGATTGTTCGTAGTTTTGCAGTTTGCGCACTTCTTTCGATAACTTAGCAGACATTTCGCTATCGCTGAGCGGACGGATGCGGTAGCCCGGGATCACATCCTTGAATATCGCAGCTTGCGAGGCAAGAGCCAGCTTCTTGATTGCAACGTGCGCCCCGTTATTAACCATTTCAGCCATTGTTTTGAAAGAGCCAAGATGTTCCTCCGGGTCTTCATTGATCAAAGTCGCCAGTTTTGCAAGTTCTTCTTTCGCCTGTAAGATCTGTAATTTCATCGGAATCTTGGGCTTCTCCTCCTCCGCAGGTGTTTCCTCATCCTCGTCCATGTCATCCTCGGCACCGGAGGCTACATCCTCTTCATCGTCATCGGTGCCAAGAAAACTGTCAGACTCTTCAGGCTCCGATTCCTCAATGGTTTGCAGACCCTCCGCAGTTTTGATAGGTAACCTAGTCCTCTCCTTATCTTTCTTGCCCAATTTGCGTGGACGGCGCTCGTAATCTTGTTCCAGATCCCATTCGGAAGCGTTGCTGTAGAAGTTGTTCAAGGCTGAGCCCTTGGAGGGTTTCGAGGTGCCATTGCCTTCATCACCAGGAGGACTCAGGCGTCTCCTTTTATTCGTGCGTCCCGGAGCCATGACGATTTATTGAGCAACCGACTTGTCGTGGTTGAGGGTCGATGGTTGGTTTTGAGCGGTTCCCGTCCGAAACTTTTTTTTTCTTTGCGGTGCCAAGACTTTCATGCCAAAAGCTCTCCACCTTAAACTTTTCTGGATTTTTTGTCCGCGGAGCTTTTCTTCGACTGTGAACAACCCGTATCAATCACTCAAAATGCGTCAACTCACTGAACAAGAGACGAAAACGCTTTTCGAGAAACTTGCCAACTATACTGGTCGCTCGTTGAACAACCTCATCACTACATCCGATGACCCCAATGACCGATATGTATTCCGTCTCCATGGAAATCGTGTCTATTATATGAAACTGTCCTTGGCCAATCTTTCGACGGCCATTCCTCGCGCAAATCTTCTCTCACTTGGTACCTGCATCGGAAAGTTTACTAAGAGTGGCCAGTTCAGGCTGCACATCACCGGTAAGATCCCCACCAACCATTAGCGATCAATGAACAGATCTCTGACTTCTACAGCCCTGGATGTGATTGCCCCCCACGCGAGATACAAGGTCTGGATCAAACAGAACGGAGAGATGCCCTTCTTGTACGGTGGAAATGTGGTAAAGGCGCACGTCAATCGGTGGTCAGACGATTGTCCAGAACACGCAGGTGTTGTTGTCTTCAACTCGAATGATACTCCTTTGGTAAGACGGACGTTGGCGCGGAGAATACGGTGCTATAAGTTACTAACATTGTCTCAGGGCTTTGGAGTTACCGCCCGGTCTAGTGCTGAAGCGAGGAAATTGGAACCAACAGCCATTACCGTTTTCCGCCAGGGAGATATAGGAGAATATCTGAGAGAGGTGTGTTACATCTTGAGTGTGAAAGCCCTTGCACACATCGCAGCTTACTGACCTTTGCCTAGGAAGATACCCTCTTTACGACGTAAAGGAAAATCGTTGCATAGGCGGGATCGTTCATGGAATTTGGATGCTAGATACCTGGGGATTCTCGCAGGAGTTCTGGAGTCATCTGTCTGTTTCAATAGAAAAGTTTTTACCTTTGTTCTTCAGCATACTGTATCCGTAATCATATGCGATTACAACAGCTCGTTTCCACCTTGCCTAAACCTAGTTATATCCCTTCTGACGTTCCCTGATATATCGTCTTCCTTAACCTCTTCAAGTACTTAGTTCAATAACCATATAAACTTTCTACCCCATGCACATGGAATAGTTTAAGGCTTATTGGTGGGAAGGATAGGACGCTGATGGCCACACGGCTTGCCGCGGGAATATAATGTATCGAGGTTATTTGAAGACAAATAGACAAAGAATGAATGAGAATTCCAAAGCATCTGAAAAATTAATGAGCCAATAATTATTTATACTGCCGGTTGTCACAGAAAGTTATCTGCAGATAATCAGTCCATGTGTTTGCGGGGCACGTGCATTATCAGTGATCAGTCAGCTCTCCAAAAGCGACAATACGAACTTTTGCATCTAATCAGCCATCATTGTGTCTACTACTTCTCGCAAAATCTCTGCTGCGCTGAACAATTACTAGGTCCTTTAATATCTTGCTATTTTGATTATTAATTTCACTCACTGTCACATCCCTTGTTCAGGTTTCTTAGCACTCAATAGAAGATCGTACCTGAAGCCCGTCTGCAACCCCACCATGCCACCTTACTCGGGTCTTCAGAGGCAACAAATAGCTCAGTTTATGAACTTTACACAAGCCAAGGATGCAGTAGCAGCCAAGGTATGATACTTTCCTTTCCCAGCATACCGCAGGCATTGTTGGTCTCAAGTTGCACATATAACCTTCCATGTCACGTGTGATAATCATGGTCCAATAGCTGATGTTTCGTTTATAGTTCTTAAAAGCATCTAGGTGGAATGTCGAAGAAGCAATTGATGCGTAAGTTAGCTGAGATATTTTGTTTCTCTTGTTCTCTCCTTGTCTTTCCCCCGATCCATGGCTGGACCTTTGCTTTTCTCGGGCTCTGTAATTCTGCCGTACTGCAGTGTGGAATTGCCAGGCTCTCTTGTTGAATGACTGGACGGTTTCTGTGCTCCGGTGTTTACTGGCTATGCTCTTTTCAGTTGCAGCAAGTTGTCGCCCGCCTTTGGCAGGTAAACGGGCAAGGGAACGTAACTTGTCAGGCATTGATTCTCCATCGTCCTCTTGGGCATCCTATGCACACGACAGAGCACTGTTAGCTGGTCTTCTATCCAATGTTAGCAGCCAATTGCGTAATACCCGCCAGACAAGACTGCGGTGTCTCGAGCCAGCTTGGGGGCTGTTAAAGTAATTCGCACTTACCTCGAAGTCTCGCTCGTCTATGTGGCGCCTTACCACAATCTGCCACTTTTGGAGCACATATGGGACACTCTTGGGCCTCGTAGACCAGGGGTGTCATGTATATGTTCGGCACATAAGGGCACAGGACGCAGATGAGGTTCGCCATTACCTAAATAATCTCCAAGCGTCATCCTTGTGTCATCACAACGTCTGGATCCCTTCAAAAATTCCGAGGGAACATGACCGAGATAGGCATTCAAGCTCACAAGCGTCAAGATGAGGACCCGTTCTGGAAAGTCGAAATACTCATGTCTTCCATCGGCCATTCCTACCCGTGCCTCAAAGAGGCGAAAGTCAGTCATACCGGCGCACATGACGTTTACTGACAAGATTCAGGTATTTCCAGAGCCCCCAGGGGGCAGGAGGCGCCACCTCCTCCATCAACAAGATATTCGACAGCTATCGAGGTAAGGCAGTTCGCCAGAAAGGATACACTAGTTCCAAGCTAATTCCACTCAGACTCCCCGGATGACAACCCCGACAGCATCGGCATTGAAGGGGCGATGAAATTTCTCGGCGATATCGAAGTGGAACTAGACGAAGTGACATGTCTCGGCATCGCAGAACTTCTGAAATCACCATCGATGGGCGAGTTTAGTCGAGAGGGATTTCTGAATGGCTGGAGGGCTGTCGGGTAACAACGCCACCAATACCCGCTACTGGAATCTGCAAATCGAAATAATCTAACCTAATCAACAGATGTGACTCCATCGACAAAATGGTCGCCCATGCTGACAATCTTCGATCGCGGATCCCTACGCAGCCAGATCTCTTCCGTCGTGTGTACCGCTATACCTTCCCTCTCTGCCGGATGCAGGGCCAGCGGAACCTCCAATTTGAGATTGCAGCCGAACAGTGGAAATTATTCTTTACGCCGGACAAGGGCGGAGTCCAGTGGGAGACGGAGACGACTCCATGGTTAGACTGGTGGATTGAATTTATGGAGGAGCGCGGAAAGAAACCCGTTAACAAGGATCTGTGGGAACAGGTTGAGGTCTTTATGCGGAAGACTCTTGACGATGAGCGGTTTGGGTGGTGGAGTGCGGATGGTGCATGGCCTGGGGCACTTGATGATTTTGTAGCCTGGGTGCAGAAGAAGAGAGGGGATAATATGGAGGTGGAGTGATGGTTGCTGGTGGATCGTTAATGGGAGTGGGTGCTTAAATGTACCCTGGAATAGGAATATTCTACTTTTAGCAGCTCTCCACATCCAGTCAACTATATCGGGCTCTACGCCTCTTTCAACCAACAAGTCTGAGGAACATTCGCAAACTATTTGCAGGAGAAGCTCATAATTCTTAACTATTCGAGATCGAGGACAGAAATTGAAGGTAATTTGTAATATCACATTGCAAAGGGTGGGTAAATAGCAGCACTATGGACTATCAAGTTATGTATATCGCCAGCTGCAGGCAGAGACTAAGAAAAACATTCATCGTAACAGTCAAACATATCTTCAACTCGGTACAACACGAGATAGGCAATCATCTTGAGGCCGAATCAGAATAGAACATGAGAATAGAACCAGGCAGACATGCGAAAGGGGTAATTGGAGGCGGAGAGGGGAAAGAAATAGATTGTCTGTGCCTTCGGCTTGCCTTTGCCTTGAGGCAACATAATGCATCTATTCATCCGAGGTATGGAGCGGATGGGCCGAGGATATGGAAGACGGCCGGATCGTTCGGCTTGAGCCGGATGGGTAGGGTCTGGATGTATATACAACTAACGGTAATCCTTGGTCTCGTATTCACTGCCTGGGCCGCCTGGGCCGCTACGACGTTGGTCGTAACGCTAGTTAAAATTGAAAATTAGTGTCTGAGATGTAACAGTTGAAGAGGGCATTTACCTTTCTCAAGGCCTCGAGGCGCTTCCTCTTGGTGTGGGTGTTGACGTAGGTTCCAATGAAGAAACCAACAATGTTAAAGAATGGCACCCAAGTGTGCTCGGGGAGGAACTTCTGCGCAAACGCAAGTGCGAGAGGGGAAGTCACCCAGCTGACTTTCATGACGGGCATGAAACCGGCGCGAACGGTGGCGCGAACCTGATGGAAGGTGCGCGCGCCGGTGATAACGGCCATCGACGACAGGTACACTGTGTTTTGGATGGGGGAGATCTGCATTTTTGGTTAGCGCATCCGCGCATTCCAGAGATCGAAGGCCCGATCTATGGACACCCGACGCGGTTGGGAAACATACGATGAGATTGCTAAAGAGAATCTGCAGGATCTTGGCCTTCAGGCTTGTGCGGCCGGCAAAGATCTTTTGGAGGATGCCCACGAGGAAGTGGCCCAGCGGGGCAGCGACGAACATGCCGTAGAGAAGCATCTTTGGAACGCGGGCGCTGAAGTAGTGCCCATTCCTGCTGACATCATTCGCGATCCACGAGGCCAGATATTCTTGAGATGCGGAAAGTACACCCGACGTCAACATCTTCGTGCGCAGAGGGTTCTTCTGCAGCTGACGCAGGTACATCTGTAAATGCGAGCATTTCCCATGTCAGCGAGTTGCGATCGTACCGACCGCGACCAGATCAATCGCTGACCCGACACTCCGGGAGGGAGGATGAACATACAGCCATATAGCCATTTTGAGGGTTTCCGCCAGTCAAGCGTTCGCCGACTTTGTGCACCAATTCCTTTGTGTCTTGACGAATCCCCTTTACGGCCTCCTCCTGAAACTGTCCCTGGATTTGCCCTTTAATCTGGTCCGTGACTTGTTGCGTGACCTGGTCCTGAAATTTTACGGACATGATGGCGGTTGATGCGATGGCGTCGGCAATGGGAGACGAATGTAGGGACGATAAGATCCGTTGGCGGAATTGACGGCAACGGGTGTTAATGTGGTGCCTGAGAAACCAGTTAATACACGATCCGCACGGACAATAATGCGCACAATAGGACTTCAAATGACGAACAGTTGAATATGGGGCGAAGTGGGTTAAGAGGGGGGTTAAAGAAAACTCGGTGAGAGATTGAGTATGGGGTTGGAGAAAAACAAAAAGTCCCGCCAGGAACTAAAGGAACAGGGGCGGAGCTGTTGTTTGTGTTTGTTTATGGAACGAGGAGGCTGGAACTCTCCAGACCGAAAAAAAGGTCTCAGCTTGGGGGGGACGGAAAGCTTACCGAGGTTAAGTAAGGTAAATAAAGGGTAGAACAATAAGAAGTTAACTGAATCGAGGGAATTAGACCGATTAATTAAAAAATAGACAGTCAATAGATGACGAAATTATGTATCGATCTGGAGAACCTGTGGGTTTCTCTTATATGCAGGTCATTTATCACAAACTGGTGTCAGATAAGAAAGATATAAGAAGGAAAGCCTTGTCCCAAGGAGAGACCGTCACAAAATAGTTGGTGTTGGACCTGGGGATTTAAAAGCTGGAGGGAAAAGTGGACGATAAATCGGATCTCTCAGGGCGACAGGTCAATAGGTCGGCCACGAGTGTCGGCAGATCTTATTTATATTGCTGTTAATTAAATTCCAAAATTACCTGCTAATTTTACGATGCGCAACCAACTGCGCTTGTCCGCTACCTGTCGGTCACCTCCGATAGCCTATCGCTTTAGCACGCTCGAAACTTTATTTTTCTATCGTTTTTTTGTGATTGTTTTGAATCATCTCCTTCTCTATATAAGGGCACGGTGTATTGTTAAAGATCACATTATATCTACACATTTACACATTTACGCGTTGGATTTTGTCGCATCCATATACTTCGTATACTGACTTGGAGCTTTCTTGCTCTCACTCATAATCTATCTTTTGATACAGGTAACAAGGCTACGGACTAAGGACTATGGACTCTTACAGAAGCAAAGCAATGGTGGACATACAAAGGGCGAAACAGACTGACAAAAGGAAGTATATAATAAAATAGGGTTTCAAGATATGTGTCAGATTTGGTTGGTGTTCCAATTAACATGATATTCAGAGACTAGTATACCTGAAGAATGAACTTACTATATATTTTGCAGCCTGATTTCTTACCATACCCTTGAAGTTTTACACCAATATCCCAGAATAATCTATATATCTGGTCCTGATTAACTTGGTATGCACAAGAAAGACAAATTGCAAGAGAAAGTAAATATACCACTTAAAAAGAAATACTTCTTTGAAGTTATCTCTCAGTATGACAGTTAGGTATTATTGCCTAACTTCAATATTTCTGTCACAGAGCGCAACCTTTACTACTTTTCCAGTGAATGTTGTCACTTACTCTTAATATGGCTCTTCTTGTTACAGTGTGATACCATACGATGTTCTCAATTCCCATCACACTTCTCTCCTATTCATTCCATCCCATCCTGAGCTATGGCAAACAATGAACAGGACAACTCCGAAGAGAACACTGGTATTCAAACTAAGTTACTTTCTATCCTACAAGTGCCTCCTTTGGCATCCATCTATCCCCTGGCCGACCAGTGTCAACTTCCCACCCAAGAAGATTACGTTCGGCCTGTCTCGGACATCCAGCTACCTCTCGACTATCAAAGTTATTATACTGGAAATCCGCTCATGGCTCCTCCGACAGCCCAGTCAGCTATCCGCCAGCATCGCTGCCATCATAGTGTGATAGAACGCCAGTTCTGCATTGACCGTATGGAAACATGCAACTCATGCGGAAGACGGCCATTCCTCGGATGGCTCTACCTCTGTGTTGAGGACACTTCGGGCTTCTCTGATGCCTTGGATCCCATAAACGGCCCATTCCTCAGTCCTTGGATACTGAAAGCCATGGAAGATGGTCGCTATACGACAGAACAGAAGGAAATCGTGATTCACCAGAAGTTGAACGTCGTGAGGACGGCGGAGAGAGAAAGAGGCCCCGTACCTCCACCACTTTCTATGCTCTATGCAGAGCGTAGTGCGCAAACCGGTCACAATCAGGATGACCCATGGGTAGAGTTGGTGGAGGATGTCAGCCAGCGGGATGAGAGTGCTTCCAGAACCGGCGAATCAGCGGTTCGCCTCGACCATCCTGAGCAAACCTCGCAGCTATTCCAGCACCCACACCCTGCTCTTCCATGCACCTTCAAGGCTTGTCGGTTCTGCGAGCGTCGCCATGGTAACCTCGAGGAGCGCACCTGGATAAGCCTCAATGAAATCTGCAATGATCCTTCTATTCCCCCTCCAGACTCGTGGGAACTGCTCGAGAGGCCTGTCTCCGACGCTAATATTCTTCGGAACTTAGAGCTGCGCTCTCGGTGTATCTGGATAGGCTCCCCAGAGATGATTTCCTCGGAGCATGGCATCCCAGAAAGCCGCGAAGATATAAGCGTTAGGCTCTACTCTCAGGAGAATATCACGAGCACCAATATCCATGAGCTTGTTGATCAGTCTCTGAACGTATCGATCAGAAGTGACGAAACAGAACAAACCATTGCATCTTATACGGGCCAGCTAAGTGAAAGTATTGTCGTTGGAATGACCATCTCTACGTTCGATGATCACTCCACATCGTTTTCATGGTCAGACCCGTTGGAGCATGGTCATGATGGAAAGTAACACCGGGGAATAGATTTGACAGTGAGGACATCCGCATACAACTCTCGCTTCATGGTTATTACGAGGGGGAAGTGGGAAGCAGAACTACAACCTTATCATCTCATCATTGTGCCACGACTGACTGCATTGATTATTACTGTCCCTATCTGACAGCGACTAGCCAAAAAGAGAAAAAAAAAAAAAAAAAAACAGAAACAGAGGGGAATTAAGTATTACATAAAAAAAAAAAAAAAAAAAAAAAAAAAAACAAACAAAAAAAAAAAAACTTTTCAAAAAAAAAAAAAAAAAAAAAAAAAAAAAAAAAAAAAAAAAAACAAAACAAAAGAGAGAGAGAGAGAGAGAGAGAGAGAGACAAGAAGCAAATTGATTCACAAAGTGGCGTGGGAATGCAAAGGCATGTGTGTAACATAGTGGGATGATCTTCTAGAAATTTTCATGGAAACGTTCCGCGGGCAAAATTTCCTAAACAATTCCACTAGATGGTGGAATCCACATGCAGATCACCACGAAAAACAACGCTTCGAGTGTTGCATGCGGCACGCGCGGGTACTTTTGCAAGACAAATCAGCCCGCTACAACTATATAAACCGACGTCTTCTACCCACCCGGTAGTTCATGGGTAGGACAAATGTTGTGAAGGACTGGCTGTCGAGTGCGCGCAAACTGATTCGGTCGATCACAGCGATTTGTCTGTATCTAGTAAACTCCGAACCTCGGCATCCGCGCCAAGCGGAAGGAAGTGCTAGTCAGATGCTCTGCGTTGACATTTCCCTATAAATCCACATCGCCCTGCGCTCCATACCGCCCTCTCCGGAGCATCGGAGATTCCCGCATCTTTTTTATAGTGCTCATCATGGCTGAGACTGAAAACCCCCCTGATTCTTCTGCGCCCGCCGTTGCCGAAACACCGAATGTGGGGAAATCGGCCAGTCCCGCGGGGGGTTCACCATCGTCTTTGGATGTCGCTCAGCGCCAGTTGCTAGGAGCCCTCAGGGCAACCGACGTCACCATCGGCCGCTTGGACAAGTAAGTAGTTGTCTGAGGTCTTGGTGTTTTATGTGCGATTCTCTGCCTTTGTGCGACAGGCGTCTCAACCAACCGTAGTCCCTACCATTACCATGTGACTAACTGCGCTCTGTGCACAGGCTCATGTCATCGGCCTATGGTCAAGAACGAGTTTTTGCTGTCACCGGTTATCTAACCCATGCGCTCCATCACCTCCTGGCCTCCGCACCATGGATTGCCCTCCAAACACGGCTCGGCCTTCTGGCCCGATTGAGATCGAAAGCCAAGCCTGTCGCACCCAACTCGACTCCCTCGCAATCGCGACTACTTGCCCTCTCCGCTCTCATGTCAGAAACCCGTTATAGCCTCCGGCTCTTGGGCCTCTTCCCTCTGTGGACTTGGGGCTCCGCTACATTGAAGTCTCCTCCATCGGACCGTATCCTCTACGCACTTACCCTTCTTCAAGTGGCTGTGAACATGATCTACCAAGCCCTAGAGAATGCCGGCTTCCTGGCTTCCAAAGGAGTAATCTCGAAGAAGTTCATCGACCGCTGGGGCGGAATTGACAAGTGGTATATATGGAGTACACGGGCCTGGTTCGGCCACATCTTCTTCCAGTTCTTCGTGCTGTGGAGAGAGCACGTGCTCCGGAAGAAGAGAATGAGTGGTGAGGTGTCGGAGGAGAAGAAGAAAGAAGCCTTGAAAGCCGAGGTTCGCGCCTGGAAGAAGAGCCTGGTGAATAATACCTGCTGGGCGCCATTGTGTCTTCACTGGTGTTTCGAAAAGGGGATTGGTTTCCCTGACAGTTTGAGTGGTGTTGTTAGCTTTATGGCTGCGGGTTGGGGCGTTTATGACTTATGGACCGCAACTGCGCAGTCCTAGACAAACAGGAAATCCGGCTGGACTGAGATCTGTATATAACTGTGGTGTAGAGTATATTGACTGGCGCAATTTGGGATTAAAACTCAAAGACTTTAAGATAGAATAGAACTTTCCTAATTTTTAAGTTCTCTCTAAGTCACATTCTGCCAACTGATCGAGATAGTCTTCTTAGCATCTATCTATCTACTACTGTAAAATGCATAAAACCATAACTGCACCAAACCTTGGCCCATTATCCACTCTAAACTCTTGAATGCCCTAAAACCCCAAACGCCCATTTCAATGACAACTAATCTCGGATGATCCCAGAAAAACACAGGCCTATTGCTGCCCCGGTCTTACAGAAACAGCCCCGATCCGTCCAGCATATTCCTGTGTTGAGAATTAACAATGTTCTCATAGAACTTTTCTTTCAGAAACTCATCCAGAGGCCAAGCCGTGCTCTTCACCGGTATCAGACCCTCCCTAGAACCATACCAAGCAAACATACCAGCATCAATCATCCGGTCACTGCAAATATCATGGCAAGGTAAGCTACTATCCTTCAGACGAATCTGAGCCCTCACATCCACCAAGTTCATAAGCCCTCCTTCAAGATCGTAGATCAAGTTCCGCTGGTCCATGTCCAGTCCCAACAAGAGCATTCCTTGCACAGTATCACGCGGATTAGATGTTTGGACAACGACAGGCGGACTCCTCGGTGAGATCTGGTGGAGCATATAACCTGATACGCATGCGCGAGTCATTCTTTTTGTGATGTCGGTGGTCGGGTTTTCTCCTATGAAATACTTGAGTACGGTGGGAAGCATTAACACTCCGTAGACGAAGCGCGGTGCACAGTTTGGCCTTTTGAGGAGCTCGGCCAATGCTTCCTCTGTGAAGGTGTTCAGGAGAGCTTGGTTGAAGTCGGCTGGATACCATGGTTTGCACTCCATCTTCTAAAATGGAGGACCATGCAGGACTGGTTCAGATGAAATGGACGTTCATTCTTCGGAGCGATAGTCCTGTTGGTTGCAATAGTACGTTTGCTGTATCTTTCTCTTATTCTTGGGGCTCGTGACCTGATTGTAAGGTGTGATGACTTGGACGAACTATGTAATGGTTTGTTGGTGGTAATGTGCTCTCTAAGTGTGAGATGGGAAGAATATTTCTTTGATGGGTTATATGACTATGGCACTTTCCAGCCAATTTGCATGAAAGGAAATTGATATCTAGTAGAAGGAAAACTGGTGAATAATTGGAAGTATACAACACTTTAGGAAGACAATGTTAAAAGGGAAAGCACGTTTAATATGTATATTGGGTAGTACCGAGCAAGTCTGGGACATTAGGGCTTTATACAGGTTTTCAAACCAGGCAACATTTCTATCATGGGCAAAGTCTGAGAAGGCACCTTCATTTGCCTAGTCATGTTGGAGCCTTGGGCGAAGGGGGTGATATGTAGGGTGAACGAGGCTGGTGCCACAAGTGGTCAACAAATGATATAGCCTTCTTGCCTGAGGCAACCAGGTACATCAACAGTGCGGAGTATTTGGTAGAAGTTGGAGTATGTTAGAAGGATCAGTCAGCATCAAGGACGAAAACAGAAGTTAAAGATAAGAACTTTGAAGGCAAATGCCACTTGGCAGCAAAGAACGTTTCGGAACCTCTGAGCTTTCCTTACTAATAATATCACTAGAAATAAAGAAATGAATGATTATATCTTGGAGTTGACCAGTCAATACTTTGGGTAACTGGTCAGTATGCGACCGGCTTCCATACGCTTCTGTACTCGGGGCGGTGGCGGCAGCCGCTCAGTGGCTAATGAGTGAGGAACCTGGCTTAAGTCATCAACAGGAAGGCAGTTGAGACTATCGTCACCTCTTAACGGGTAGCTGTTTCTGCCACTTCTGATCTCACTTCCAACTCTCTGTCTCCGCTGCATTTTATCAATCCTTCCCATTCTCCATTTACTTATCCCTCAGGCATTTTATCGTGTCTGCTGGATCATTTGTCTGTGTTGCGTTTTTTTGTTCTTTTCTTCTATTTTCGTGTTTCTGTCATCGGGCATCCTAAGTCCGATACAGTGACGTCCTTCGTACCTTCAGGCCTACCTGCTTCAAGAGCTCGCTAGATCAGTGATCCATCCCCATTCGCCGTCAAAATGAGCGCAGAACCCGACCATACTCATGAAAAGAAGAGGGTCCATCTTCAGTACGCTTCAAGTCCTCCCTCTTGCAGCGATTTATGTGCTAACCGAGCTCAAGGGACGCCTCTGGCGCCGAGAAGAAAGAGGTGAAGATTCATCGCAGAAAAAGATTTTGCCAACCATGACGCTGACTGGTCTCGCCACAGGAACTCGATACCTCGACAGCCATCCTAAAGAAGAAGAAGAAGCCCAACTCATTGATGTATGCTAGTTCTCCCCACAACTGCTAACAACGGAGGGGGTACCTTGATGGATGCTAATCAGCGGACTTGCAGTGTGACCGATGCCGTCAACGATGATAACTCCGTTATTGCCCTTTCCAACAACACTATGGAAACCCTCCAGCTCTTCCGCGGTGACACAGTTCTCGTTAAGGGCAAGAAGCGGAAAGACACCGTTCTGATTGTGTTGGCGGATGATGATCTTGATGATGGAAGCGCCCGCATCAACCGTGTGGTGAGGCACAACCTCCGTGTCAAGCACGGAGATGTTATCACTGTCCACCCATGCCCCGATATTAAATATGTAGGTACTTCCCGACTACGGCTCGACAGGGCGTGCTAGCTGACCACATTCCGGTAATATAGGCCAAGCGTATTGCTGTTCTCCCTATCGCAGACACTGTTGAGGGTCTCACCGGCTCCTTGTTCGACGTCTTCCTTGCCCCCTACTTCCGCGAAGCCTACAGACCCGTGAGACAGGGCGATCTGTTCACAGTAAGAGGAGGTATGAGACAGGTGGAATTCAAGGTCGTTGAGGTAGATCCTCCGGAGTACGGCATTGTTGCACAAGATACCGTCATCCACTGCGAGGGTGAGCCGATCCAGCGCGAGGATGAGGAGGGCAACCTCAACGAGGTTGGTTACGATGACATTGGTGGCTGCCGGAAGCAGATGGCACAGATCCGTGAATTGGTGGAGCTGCCCCTCCGTCATCCTCAGCTGTTCAAGTCCATTGGTATCAAGCCTCCTCGCGGTATCCTCATGTACGGTCCTCCCGGTACTGGTAAGACTCTGATGGCTCGTGCCGTGGCAAACGAGACCGGCGCTTTCTTCTTCCTCATCAACGGTCCCGAGATCATGTCCAAGATGGCTGGTGAGTCCGAATCGAATCTGCGCAAGGCCTTTGAGGAGGCCGAGAAGAACTCCCCCGCTATCATCTTCATTGATGAAATCGATTCTATCGCCCCCAAGCGAGAGAAGACCAATGGTGAAGTTGAGCGCCGTGTCGTATCTCAGCTCCTGACCCTGATGGACGGCATGAAGGCTCGTTCCAACGTTGTCGTCATGGCCGCCACTAACCGCCCCAACTCCATCGATCCTGCTCTTCGTCGTTTCGGTCGTTTCGATCGTGAGGTCGACATTGGTATCCCTGACCCCACCGGCCGCCTGGAGATTATGCAGATTCACACCAAGAACATGAAGCTCGGAGAGGACGTTGATTTGGAGACCATCGCCGCTGAGACCCATGGTTACGTCGGCTCTGATCTTGCTTCCCTCTGCTCTGAAGCTGCCATGCAACAGATTCGTGAGAAGATGGATCTGATCGATCTGGACGAGGATACCATTGATGCCGAGGTGCTCGACTCCCTTGGTGTCACCATGGAGAACTTCCGTTTTGCCCTTGGTGTCTCCAACCCCTCCGCTCTTCGCGAAGTCGCTGTTGTCGAGGTGCCCAACGTTCGTTGGGAGGACATTGGTGGTCTCGAGGAGGTCAAGCGCGAGCTCATCGAGAGCGTGCAGTACCCCGTGGACCACCCCGAGAAGTACCAAAAGTTTGGTCTTTCGCCTTCTCGAGGTGTGCTGTTCTACGGTCCTCCTGGTACTGGTAAGACCATGCTTGCCAAGGCTGTCGCTAACGAGTGCGCTGCCAACTTCATCTCCGTCAAGGGCCCTGAACTGCTCTCTATGTGGTTCGGTGAGTCCGAGAGCAACATTCGTGATATCTTCGACAAGGCCCGTGCTGCTGCTCCTTGTGTCGTCTTCTTGGACGAGTTGGATTCGATCGCCAAGTCTCGTGGTGGTTCTGTTGGCGATGCTGGTGGTGCCTCTGACCGTGTCGTCAACCAGCTCCTGACCGGTATGTGTAACAGCAGACAATACATGCGCTTGAATACATAAGCTAACTTTCACTTTAGAAATGGATGGTATGACCTCCAAGAAGAACGTCTTCGTTATCGGTGCCACAAATAGACCTGAGCAGCTTGATGCTGCCCTTGTCCGTCCTGGTCGTCTGGACACTCTTGTCTACGTTCCCCTGCCCGACCAGGCTTCCCGTGAGGGTATCCTCAAGGCCCAACTGCGCAAGACCCCTGTCGCATCCGATGTGGACTTGCCCTTCATTGCCAGCAAGACCCACGGATTCTCTGGTGCCGATCTTGGATTCGTTACTCAACGTGCTGTCAAGCTGGCCATCAAGCAGTCTATCACGGCTGATATTGAGCGCCAGAAGCAGCGTGAGGCCAACGGCGAGGATGTCAAGATGGAGGAAGACGAGGAGGTCGACGAGGAGGATCCTGTGCCGGAGCTTACCCGTGCGCACTTCGAGGAGGCCATGAAGTCGGCCCGTCGGTCCGTCAGCGACGTGGAAATCCGCCGGTACGAGGCTTTCGCTCAGAGCCTGAAGAACTCGGGCGGCAGCAGCTTCTTCCGCTTCCCTTCTGCGGGCGAGGTCCAGGACAACAACACGTTCGGTGAAGCCGGCAATGACGACAGCCTCTATGACTAAATTGGGTTTTGTGTTTTTCTTTTCAAGTCTTTCTTAGTTATGTATCGGCACTAGTTAGATCTAGCGGGGCTGATGAGGGTATGGACTGCTAGGAATACGATTGGTTTCTGATTCCTTTTGAACAGGGTTTGTCCATCTTTTGTGTCTATCTACGTCTCGCATACTAGATGCCATAATAGTTCTTAGTGGAGAGATGAACTCGACGTTCTAGTTTAATGCATCAATGACTCTTATAGAATCAAGAATGTTCCCGTAATACATGAATGTCCATTGAATTAAAACACTGCCACGGTCAAGGTGGACAAGACCACAGGTTGACGTTGTACATGCACGTCGTCGTGGATATGGTATCAAAATGCAGCAAACTCCCACCCGTTCTAAACACCAATCTCGCCAGAAGTAAATGCCAGGCAAACACCTATGACAAGTGATCCGAACAAGAATGCCAAAGCCAGATATACCCTGAAGAACCGAAAAATGGAAAGGACAAAGACCAAAAGAAAAAAGAAAAACGACAAAACAGATGTGACGCCCGAGTTCACTTTACCTGTTTTCCAGGCTTCGGCTTCTTATCCGTCTTCTTAACAGGGCTTGTATCACCATTTTTTAGTGACTGGTCCCCTGTCTTCGACGACTTGGATGGTTTAGTCTTCGTTTCACCGCCGCCCTCCGGCTTCCCATCCACAGTGCTATGGCGCGAATCATGATGTTCTAACAGATCTGAATCATCATCGAGTACCACCACCTCGCGCAATACCTCTTTGATTGCCCTCACACCTTGCTCGACCACCGCCTCCGGGATCCGCACATCCACTTTCTCAAAGTAGCCGTCCGCATCGCCGTTACTATTCTTGTCCTCCTCGTTCACATTGTCCAAGCCTGCTAGTACTGGGTGTTTGCGTCCCTCCGCGGACGCAACCACGGCCTCAACCACATCATCAAATCGCTCGCATCGGCCGCCGCGCAGGAGCTCCTGCGATAGTTTCCGAACCTTTTCCGTCCAGCCCATGCGCTGCAGAGAGCAGAGGAGGGTCGCGTGAAGGTCATCAAGCGCCGTGGTGGAGGCCAGGTGCGCGAGGAGGTCGGATTCGAGACTTTCCGACGAGGCTGGGGTTATCCCTGTGCTTTGCGAGGTGGTCATGTTGCCTTTCCTGCGTTCGTTCGTCGGCTCACTGCTGAATTTATTCCGATCCCTTTATTCCGTTTCTAACTAGTGCCGTTATTGGTCCGGTGTACCGTGCGGATCGAGCAAGTGGGCAGGATAACCGTGCGGTGAGGTTGTCGTCGGCGGCGGCGGCGGCGCGTGGACGGCGGCGGGATATAGATTTTCGGTGTCTGCCAATCTGACCACCCCAAGACCCTTCTCTTCCTTGTTTCCTTCTCCTTTTGCCTGGTCTTCAATCGGTCGGAGGAAATCGTCTCCGGGCGCTCCGTTCGTAACCCGAGGTTGCGACTTGTCGGTCTCGAATCCTTTTTCGCGATCGGATTGGAATTGCAACGCGGAGAACCTCGGCGGTAGGGACGGAGCGAACGACGGATAGAAGGTCGGTAGGTGGTTGATGCGATCTTTTCGCGATCGCGGCGTCGCTAGCTTCCTTCTGCTTTCGGCTTGGTCTGGGTTTTGCGCACGTAGGTGATGGAGCAAAAGGATTTGGGACTTACGTTGGATTTGTCTTATGGAGTCCGTGCGAATTGCGCGCGTGTTGAGAATGTGGAGATGTCCTGTCGGCGGCAGTTCTCTTTTTGGGGGGGCGTTCGCAAAAATGGAAGTGGAGAGAAACATGAAAGGGAAAGAGCGCCGACTGACAGGGGTTTCTCGTACCGGGGGTGTATGATGACCACATCTTTGATTGCCACTTAGAGTAGAAGAGGTGGGTGTGAACAATAGAACCTAGGGGGTTGTTCTTGGGTGGGATTAGTTATGGGGTTGTTGATTGGGATTTCTTTCTTAAAATTTAATTGAAGGGATTGATATGTATACCTGGGGTAGGGTGGGAGTAGGTGATCGCTGTGAGTGGATGTTGTATTTTGCTATCTAGGTGTATACTTCTTACTACTATTGTCAATTTAGCAGGTGGTGATGCTCATTTATTGATTGTTTATTGTTTCTTTCTGACCTCACGAATGATCTGCTATAGTATATAGTGCGTAGATAAATCGATGTCTGAAATTTGTGGTATGTATATCTTGCTGCAATGGATATCCACATCACGTTGGACAGGCATACCCTAATACTTCAGAATCTACAATAGTACTCAAATGTAACCTATGAGAACAGCTACGAATACACCCTCATCATAATTATGAACTGCATAAATATGACCATTTTACTCCGTAAAGACTAGAAAAGTCGAACCAGACTAAGAAAAGGAGGAAGTACTAAGTACTACTAATTCAGTAGTGCAATGCCCGTCATCGAGTCCCAAGCGCACGGATACACCACTATCGGAAAGCTAGGAGAATAAAATAGAACAACGGGCAAGACCTTGTCCGGGTTACTAATTAAACAGAGGTTAAATAGTCCCAAAGTTATTCCATGGCTCAAGTACAGCCACAGGCTAGTGTAACGGTTCTCTTGAACAGGTGTTTGCGTGTTCTCCGCGGATGGCTGGCAGGAGTGCATCGCAAGGGAGGGCCCTCTTTCCATACATAGTGACCTATAAGCGTTGAGGGTTGGCGCGGACGAACGAGTCTCCAAGGTTCCTGATGGGCGCGTTGAGCATGTAGCTGACGACTGGCTCTTGGAAGGATTGCGTCGGTCCATTGCCCATCAATACTTTTTTTCACTAGTGTGTACAGTTTCTGATCGCTTCCTTACTCTATTGAAGCTACCATACGCGGATCCGGAGTACGCCGTGCAGGATCAATAATGCTTCCGTTCCATTGACTCGTTAGAGGCAAGTAGTGCTGCCTAGAGAGAAGATTGTAAGACCGGACGGGAATGGCTCAGGAAGATAGTTAACTTTTTTGTTTTTTTAGTATGATTATTTTTCACGGTGGATTCTGACAGCGGAGCATTCGGACCCTCCCAGCCGCCAAAAGCGTTAGGCGCTCCGACGCTATTGGATTTTGACAGCAGTCTCTGTTCTTTCTCAGTCGTCCATTTCCATTCTCTGCAGGAGAATCTTTTGGCTTGCGCTTTCTCCTGAACAACATTTTTTTTTCTGTCTTCTTTTCCCTGACTCGGTCGATGGATTGATTAGATCGATGATCTCGGCTAAGACATTTCTTTTTATTTTTATTTTTAACCAACTGCCCCTGAGTATGGGCTGATATTGATATGGGGTTGAACTATCAATTATTGTCGTTTTTTAGTCTATCATATTTTCTTCATTCGGCTTTCATAGTCCTTGGAGAGTACCCAGAAGGTTGTGGTTGTGTCTTCGTTCGATACACACCCGGTTAATCATCGAGGGAAGGGGGAAGGGAGTCTCTCTGATCAGTGGATAAATAGAAAGTGTGTAATGTCAATCATCTGGACAAGTAGGAATAGAACTCGAAGTGAACCAGTGTCTCCCTTCCGAGGCCGGTGCCGTAGGATAGGACCGACAGGATATGGCTGGGGAAGATCCAAATGCAAGGATGCGAGATTGTCCACCAATACATTTTGTATGGGTAGATTAATGGTAGCATTAGAATTATATTCCTCGAGGTGGACTGGGCATGTGTCATTTCATTGCATACCCCCTGGCTATAGTCTTCTGATATATAACAAATGGAAAAAAAGAAAAAAAAGAAAAGATATCGAGAAATTAAAAATAAACCCTACTCCGGATTCAGACAGGAATGTTTCTTAAAATCAATAGTAACCAGTACTATAGAGTCCAAGGTATCTAGTGATTCATGTATATCAGGTCTTGGTTGGATACCGTGAAAATGGCTCAACCATCATCTACGTTGATTGAACGGATATCGAGAGAAATATAGAAAAAGGATGGGAATGAAAGATCCAATATAGTTTATTTAGTATTGACCAAATAATCATCACAACATTTGAGTGGAAAAGGTGGATAACCAGAGTCCAGACCGGCGTCACGTGCGGCGATCCAAGTTTAGAAGACGCTTCTTGGTCTGTTGCCAAACTCAAAAAGAGCTCCTCCTCCAGCAAGAAGACTAGAAGACTTCGGATTTCCCTTTCCATTCTCTTCTTTTTTTACTTTTTTAGATTTACCGGTCCGGGTTGATTTTTAGTTTTATTTCTGTTTATTTATTTTTTCTCGCGCTCTCTATATCTCTCTTCGCTCATTCGTTTCATCCTTGTTGTTGTTGTTGTTCTTGTTCACTAACATTAGTTATTGCGTGTGTTTGTTCCCCTTCGGGCCTCTTTCACCCTCTCGTGCCCTAATCTTCCTATTCAGGAGAGGATCAGTTCTTGCCCCCCAAAGCAACTCGAAGCTTCCCCGCTCTGATTTTAGTCCCCATCATCTTCTTCTCTCATTGCATTGCTGGCCTAACGACGAACGAATCTCCGTCACGACTGTTACAACTCCCTCTTTCTCCCTCCCCATCTTTTTCTTCTCTTTTTCCTTTCTGGCTTCTTTTTTTTTTTTTTGCTTGTGCATATAAGTTGGGGTGTCTTTTTATTTGGTTTCCGGTATTCGAGGATTGGTTTCGGTTTTTTGACAACTGCTCGGCGCT